ATTTGTTCTTGGAGCAGGAGAAAGAGTTGTGTTCAGCCTTTTCTGCCCATTCTTTTTGTCCTAAGTGCTTCAGAAAAGTACAGGGTGGGAAGAGTGTTATACTGAGCAGCTGACACCATTGCTGTGCACTCATCATTATGCAGCAAACATTTAGTAGTTTCAGCATAAACATGGGACTCTGATGTTCTCCTCTTCATTTTGCAGAACAGTCATCATGGCAAACCTTGGCTACTGGATGCTGTTTCTCTTTGTGGCCACATGGAGTGACCTGGGCCTCTGCAAGAAGCGCCCGAAACCTGGAGGATGGAATACTGGGGGCAGCCGATACCCAGGCCAGGGCAGCCCTGGAGGCAACCGGTACCCACCCCAGGGTGGTGGCTGGGGGCAGCCTCATGGTGGTGGCTGGGGGCAACCTCATGGTGGCGGCTGGGGACAGCCCCATGGTGGCGGCTGGGGACAGCCTCATGGTGGTGGCTGGGGTCAAGGAGGTGGCACCCACAATCAATGGAACAAGCCCAGTAAGCCAAAAACCAACATGAAGCACGTGGCTGGTGCTGCAGCGGCTGGGGCAGTGGTGGGAGGCCTTGGTGGCTACATGCTGGGAAGTGCCATGAGCAGGCCCCTCATACATTTTGGCAATGACTATGAGGACCGTTACTATCGTGAAAACATGTACCGTTACCCCAACCAAGTATACTACAGGCCCGTGGATCAGTACAACAACCAGAACAACTTTGTGCACGACTGCGTCAATATCACGATCAAGCAGCACACGGTCACCACCACCACCAAAGGGGAGAACTTCACTGAGACTGACGTTAAGATGATGGAGCGTGTGGTTGAGCAGATGTGTATCACTCAGTATGAGAGGGAATCCCAGGCCTATTACCAGAGAGGATCGAGCATGGTCCTCTTCTCCTCCCCACCTGTGATCCTCCTGATCTCTTTCCTCATCTTCCTGATAGTGGGATGAGGAAGGTCTTCCTGTTTTCACCATCTTTCTAATCTTTTTCCAGGTTGAGGGAGGGGGTATCTACATGCAGCCCTTTTAGTGGTGGGTCTCATTCTTGCTTCTTTGTCCCTGATAGCCTAATCAATACCCCTGGCACTAGTGGGCACTGGAAAATCTAGAGCAGACCTGAGATGCTATTTAGTCAAACCCCTTTGATTGAGTTCATCATGGGCCTTTGCTAATACCGGGCCAATAAAAATATAACAGCAAATAATCATTGGTTAATCTGGACATATTTTTGGACTTAGTGCAACAGGTTGGGGCTAAAACAAATCTCAGAGCCGTCTCAAGTACCTTTGCCTGGATACCTCTGGCTCCTTCAGCGGCTGGAGCTCAGTGTACTAATGCCCGATCTTAGCAGAGATTTCATAGCTATTTCGAGATATTTTCCATTTTAAGAAAACTTGACAACATTTCTGCCAAGTTTGTTAGGAGGCTGCATGACACTCTTTCAAAAAAATCCTAGAAATTCTTAGCTCTCGGGATGCAGGCTCAGTCCGCTGGAGCATGAGCTCTGTGTCTGCAGAGAAATGGAGTGATGTTTTGCCTTTCACAGAACAGGCTACACAGCAGCTGTTCATCAAGAGTAAATATCGGCACAACACTAAACCTCTGGCTAGAGGACGTATTCATGGTGAACATAACTGTATGAAAGGCTACCAGGACTGAAAAATCTAATGTTTGGGAATGGTGCCCTTGTAGCAACCTCCAATTTTAGATGTTTAAAGAACCTATATGTGGCATTCCTTTCTTTAAACTATAGATAATTAAGGCAGCAGAAAAGTCAGTTACCTTCTAGACACTGAAGGCAAATCTCCATTGTTCATTTACCTGAAAACCAGAATGATTTTGACATAGAGGAGAGCTGCAGTTGTGAAAGCAGCATCATCACAGAGGATGATGTCATGAAGAAAATGGTCCATGTACAGGGAACAGAACTGCTTGCACTTCTTTATCTCTGTCTCATAATTGTCAAAAACCAGAGTTAGGTCAAGTTCATAGTTTCTGTAATTGGCTTTTGAATCAAAGAATAGGGAGACAATCTAAAAAATATCTTAGGTTGGAGATGACAGAAATATGATTGATTTGAAGTGGAAAAAGAAATTCTGTTAACGGTAATTAAGGTAAAATTATTCCCTGAGCTGTTTGATATTGTCACCTAGCAGATATGTATTACTCTTCTGCAATGTTATTGGCTTGCACTTTGTGAGTATTTGATGTAAAAATATATATGTACATAAAATATAGCATAGGACAGACTTGGGAATTTTGTTTAGAGCAGTTAACATCTGAAGTGTCTAATGCATTAACTTTTTCTAAGGTACTAAATACTTAATATGTGGGAAACCCTTTTGCGTGGTCCTTAGGCTTACAATGTGCACCGAATCGTTTTATATAAGAATCCAAAGTGGACACCATTAACAGGTCTTTGAAACATGCATGTACATTTTCTATATTTGTAACTTTGCATGTTCTTGTTTCGTTGTATAAAAAATTTATAAATGTTTAATATCTGAAATTAAACAGGAGCAAAGATGAGCGCCATCTCCGGTGTCTGCTATTGTTTTTCCTGGTGCTCGCTCTGTGCTGGGGACAGTTTTGGGGGTTAATCTGAGCCAGGTGGTGCTTTCAGTCCTCCCTCTTCGAGTGATGGTCGATGGTTCGTGCATCTGCCCCTGTTCCTGCCCTCGTCCTCACTTCCCAGTCACCCACCAGTTCATCTCTGCTGCCTTTGCATTTTCTCCACAAGTATCGAAGTGGACTGAGCATTAGGAAAACAGCAAAGGCACTATTGCAGCAGGAGGAACAGTCTGGGAGCTTTCATCAGTCCTGGTTTAGATATAGATTTTCTTGGCAAGGCACAGTGGCTCACCCCTGTAATCCCAGCACTTTGAAAGATCAAGATAGGTGAATCACAAGGTCAGGAGATTGAGACCATCTTGGCCAACATGGTGAAACCCCGTCTCTACTAAAATACCAAAGAATTAACCAGGTGTGGTAGCACATGCCTGTGGTCTCAGCTACTCAGGAGGCTGAGGCAAGGGAATCACTTGGACCCTAGAGGTGGAGGTTGCAGTGAGCCAAGATTGCACCATTGCACTCCAGCCTGGGTGACAGAGCAAGACTCTGTCTCAAAAAAAAAAAAGAAATAGATTTACTTGATTAAAATGAAAATTAAGTTCTAAAATACTGTTGAACTTGAACTACACAGGCATTAGAAGCATTGACTCCCTGCACAGACAAAAATCTGCATAGAATTTTTTTTGAGATGGAGTCTTGCTCTGTTGCCCAGGTTGAAGTACAGTAGCACAATCTCGGCTCACTACAACCTGCAATTCCTGGATTCAAGTGATTCTCCTGCCTCAGCCTCACAAGTAGTTGGGACTACAAGCACCTGCCACCATGCCCAGGTAATTTTTTTTTCTATTTTTAGCAGAGACAGGGTTTCACCATGTTGCCAGGCTGGTCTTGAACTCAGCCTAAGGTGATCCACTCGCCTCAGCCTCCCAAAGTGCTAGGATTACAGGCGTGAGCCACCACACCTGGCCTGCATAGAACTTTTAACTCTCCCAAAACTTCATTGCTAATAGACTAATTGCCTACTGTTGGCCGGAAACCTTACCAATAACAAACAGTTAACACGTATTTTGTATGTCATATATATTATATACTGTATTCTTACAATAAAGTAAGCTAGAGAAAATGTTATTAAAATCATGAGGAAGGAAAAATGCATTTACTATTCAGTGACTGGAAGTGGACCATCATAAAGGTCTTCATCATCATCTTCACATTGAAGAAGGATGAGGAGGAAGGGGAGGGGTTAGTCTTGCTGTCTGGTAGGTGGCAGAGGCAGAAGAAAATCTGTCTCATGGACTCAATTCCCACCTGTGGTGTTCAAGGGTCATGTGTACCTGCTTTATACCCCCCAATTCAGGCCCTAAAATAGTCTCAGGTCCTGTGAGCCCTAGTGACACACTCTCCTCAGATTCAACACCTTTGGTCTGAAAGGCGACTTTGATTTGTCATAATCTTTCAACTCATTCTCTCCATGTTCAGTGCACCAGCGCTATGCTGCTCTTGGTTATCCTTGGCAGAAGTTTTCTTCTGCAACTAATTTGCGAAAGGTAGGGGATAATCAGAAGTGACAGTAGTTGAAATCACAATGTCAATATCTTAGCAAACACCTGTGTTGTACATGGGGGAGTGCCCCTGGTAGAGTCTTCAAGGCTCACTCCAGCCTGGCTAGGGAAACTCTACAGGGAGAGGCACTTGAAATTACAGAATTTATTGTACTCACAGGTCCTAGAGAGGGTGGCATGCCTTGCCAAACAGGGAGCCAGATTGGTGGAGCTCCCAGGGAGTGGGTGCAACTCAGCATGTACAAGAGAGAGAGAGCAAGTGCTTTACTGAGAGCCAGGGTGGAGGACACAAGCCCAAGGTGTAAGATGTGTTTGAATGTCACTAGGTCACAGGGGAGGACAAGAAGTGGAACTTGTGGCAGGGACCAGCCTTATTACGGTGGCACCTGGTTACCTAGGCAGGATGACCACTGCCTGTAGGATGTCAAGGCATCAGGAAAATGTGAAGTTTTTTAAAGTTTACAACACAATGCCAATCCCCTACAGTGATCAGAGAATCAGCTTTGTATTAAAGATGGAAAGATACCAATCAACTCCTTGAAACCTCATCACCCACAAAACTACTAAAGCAGAATGACAAATACAAATTCTCAGCCAGGCTGATTACAGTTGCTCATGCCTGTAATCCCAGCACTTTGGGAGGCCAAGGAAGGCAGATCATTTGAGGGCAGGAGTTCAGGACCAGCCTGGCCAACATGGTGGCCATCTCTACTAAAAACATAAAAAAGTAGCTGGACCTGGTGGTACACAGTAGTCCCAGCTACTTGGGAAGCTGAGGCATGAGAATTGGTTGATTCACTAGCCTGGGCAACATAGTGAGACCTCATCATTATTAAAAAAAAGAAAAAGTATTGGCCAGGCATGGTGGCTCCTGCCTGTAATCCCAGTACTTTGGGAGGCCAAGGTGGATGAATCATCTGAGGTCAGGAGTTCAAGACCAGCCTGGCTAACATAATGAAATCCCTGTCTCTACTAAAAATACAAAAGCTTAGCTTCGCATGATGGCAGGCACCTGTAATCCCAGCTACTCGGGAGGCTGAGGCAGGAGAATCGCCTAAACCTGGGAGGCAGAGGTTGCGGTGCGCCAAGATCATGCCATTGCACTCCAGCCTGGGCAACAAGAGCAAAACTCCGTCTCAAAAATAAACTTTTATTATCTGCCTATAATAATTTCTCAAAAATTGTCCACTGAGGAGACTTACAGTGTTTGGACCAGGGTGAATAATATCCACCTGTATCTTTCCCAGGCCTCATGTTTTCTTTTTATAATTTTAAACTCATGTGAGTTACGCCAAAGTAATTTTCACTAAGAAAGAAAAGAAAAAAAAATTGAAATGACCAGCATAAGCATAACTGAGTTCAATCCCCCAGAAAGAGTTCTTTGGAGAACAGCCAGGCACTGCCTTTGTTTTCCCTCCTCCCCATCTGGGCTAAGACCAAAGAAGCCTGGGTCTGTACAGCTTCCCACTCTAAGGGGAGCCTTAATCCCGGTCGGAACCTGAGCTTTTCCAAGCTCAAGGCCTGACCTTGCCAACTGATCTACGCATTCTGTGCTTCATTTTCACCCAAGAAAGTGACTTTCCCGGCTAGGGAACTCCTCCCCTAGGACTCAGCTCATCCTGAGCTAACAGCCATGTATGTCCATCCTTTGTTCCATCATTTGAGTCCCACCCATGTTCTTCGGGAAAGCTGCAGCTGGTCCACATGCCTCACCTGTGCTTCTGTAGAACTGCCCCTCCCTTCTCTGCCACAGCAGGGCTCCTGGAACCTGAGCGTGCACTTGAATCTGCAAACCCTGACTGGAGGGCTAACGTGCTGCTGGGTGACGCTGTGCCGGTCCTGTGGTCCTCATTGTAACAAGGCTTTGGAGGTTCCCACACTGGAGTCTGCATCAGAAACCTCTGGAGGGCTTGTTACACACAGATGGCTAAGCCCTATCCCCAGAGTTTCTGATTCCCCAGTACCAAGGTGGAGCCAGAGAATTTGATTTTCTAACAAATTCCCAGGTGATACTCATGCTGCTGGTGTGGAGGAAGATGCAAAAGAAGCAGAAGCCGCCCGAAATACTCACAAAGCTGCCGTGGAGACCAGACACCTGCTGGGTGAGTAAGAGTGTGGGGATCCCGCCTGGGAGGAGGAGAGAGCTGGGAGCTCTAGAGGTGAATGCCAGTGGAGGTGTGAGGAGATGATTAACTCCTGCTGTCTGAAAATAGTGAAGCACAGCTGAGGCCTGAAGCCCACCCTTGGTGAGAGATTTAGCTAAACTTGGAAATGGTGCCCAGCCACTTGAGAACAGCACTTCTCAGACTCAGATGTACACATGAACCACCTGAGGAGCTTATTAAAATGTGGGTTCTGAGACCATAGCCCTGAGGTGGGCTTGGAGATTCTGCAGTTCTAGAAGCTTCCAGGTGACTCAATAATGCCGGACCAAGGACCGCTGTCTGAGAAACAAGGACCTAGAGGTCCAGGTCATCTTGAAGAGCTCTTCTAACCCTGGCCAAGAGCTTCAGGAAGCACTGGGGCTCAGGCATCGTGGAAGAGTCCTCACTTTCCTTGTTTGAACGCTAAGTGCTGCCTCTCACACACAATTCCCTTGTCTGGGCCCAGGCAACAGAATCAGCGCAGGGGCTTGTAGCTTATCTCAGAACTAAAGAGAGTTGATTTCCCCTGGGGAGGGAGGGTTCTCTGAAAAAATCTCAAAAGCCCTGCTGCAGATTTTTCATCCTCAGGATCCCCAATTTCTCTGAACCCTAACAGACTTGCTTGTTCTGTAGAAATTGCCTACAATTTCCAAGATAAGAGGACTAGAAGGGTGGCCTTTTCACCTACGTGGATTCTCTTTTCTTTTCTTTTCTTTTGAGATATATTCTCGCTTTATTGCCCAAGCTGGTCTCAAACTCCTGGCCTCAAGTGATCCTCCCGCCTCAGCCTCCCAAGCAGCTGAGATGACAGACATGTGCCACCGTGTCTGGCCCTATGCGGCTTCTCCAAGATGAATATGGGCCTTGTGGGGCTCCAGGTGGCACATGTAAGGTGTGTATAGTATTTTCGTGTTCAGACTTAAATGAGGCTCAAAATTATGCTGGGGGATTCTCAGGGGCAGCCCCTCCAAAATCAAAGACCAGTGGAGCGAAGGCCCTGAGTCCTGCCCCAGTGAGCTGTGGCTGCTGCTGCTGCTGAGTCTAGCATCTCCTGATGCTTTGACAGGTCAGCTGGGGAAAGGGGTTGGCCTCTGAGGCCTGTCACTGTCCTATGCAGCCCCCTGCAGTGCTGCTCCCTATGCCCGAGACACTGGCTTCCCCACTCAGGCCTCAGATCCAGGACTGGGGCCACTGTCCTCACTGTGTGCTTTAAAGGCTCCTCCTCCAGGCCTTCACTCAGAGCCCACCATCCCCTTCTTCCTAAACCACATTCCAGGTGCCTAGGGTGTTGGAATTCTCTGCCTCAGGGCCCCTGTTGTCCTCATGTCTGCCTGTCCATTCACAAGTGGACCATACCACCGGTATACACAGCTCAACATCCAAGAGGCGGCCAAGGCATCGCTGTTTGGGGCTGGTGGCTAAGAAGAAAGCTTGGGCATGCAGGCTGGGAGTCTGCATCCACGAACTTGAGGTGCCCAGGAGGCACAGGATGAATTCGGGTGGGAAGAGAAGGGGGTGGGCCAGGGGACAGAGGCCTCCCTCTGGAGTCTTCCTCTACACCCTGCAAATGTTAGAGGCCATCCGTCCCAAAGCTTCTATGGGAATGGAGCGAAGGATCTGGCAATAAAGCCCTTAGTTTTTGCAAATGTCTGCAAGTCATAAAAGTGCTTTTAAGTTCTCCACAAGGTCAGGACTTGTCATGTTAGATTCTTAAACCTCTCCCAAGGTCCCTCCACCCCTAGACGCTGGGAGACTCCCAGTCAATTCACCACCCTGGATGGCTGCCCCTCACCTTCTTCCCAGGGCCCCACATCCTATTAGTTCAAATACACCGATGATTTCAAGCACCTTTCTGATGAACGTCTAGAAAGAGGCCAGTGCCGCAGAAATTTCTTGTAGCATGTGCTCAAATTTCTAGGATTCTACGAGTCAAAGGACAACAGTCTTCTTGCTTCCACCAGGGAATTTGCGAACACTTGCTTCTAAGATCTGACCCCTCACAGCCACTGTGGTCCATCAATCAATTCAAAAATTAGAGTGGTCTGGGGCTGTGTGAGTAAGGTGGCTGCTTGGGAGGCTAAGTTAAGAGGCCGGCTTAAGCGCAGGAGTTCAAGGCTGTAGCAAGCTGTGATTGCACCACTGCATTCCAGCCTCTGCAACAAAACAGGATACCATCTTTATAAAAACAAACCAGCAAACGTAGTGAACTGCAGTTAAACTTATGTAATCCCGGTGCTACATAGCAACCCAGTGCTACCCAGCAACTGTGTAGAATGCTACATAGCAACTAAAAGCCATGCTTTAAAAGAGCTGTGCATTGCAAGAGGAAGTGTGCATAATATGACTTTAATTGAAAATCAGATTGGCAGTATAATCATTTTTTATAAAACAGAAAGAAAAAGCACTGTACAAATACACAGGAAAAAAAAATACCAGAAATCGATAGGTCTTAATGTTAACTGTGGTTATCGCTGGGTGGTGGACAGCAGGTGATTTTTTATTTCCTTCTGTATCATTTTTATATTTTCCAAAAAAATTACGGTGTATCAAATTGACTGGACCAACTGGTGCCCCGACTCAATATTAGTCTGAGTGTGTCTACGAGGATGTTTCTGGATAAGACTAACATTTAAATCAGTAAACTGAGTTATGAAAATTGCTCTCACCCATGTGGGTGGGCACCGCCAACCTGCTGAGAGCCTGAATAGAGCAAAAAGGCAGGGGAAGGTGGAGTTTACTGCTTTCTGCCTCCTGCCTGCTTTAGCTCATACATCTGTCTCCTCCTGCCCTCAGACCGGGATTTACACCATCTCGTCCCTGGTTCTCAGGCCTTTAGACATAGGCTGGAAACAACCCCCCACCCCCGGCTTTCCTGAGTCTCCAGCATGAAGACAGCAGCAGGTCATGGTACTTTGCAGCCTCCATAATTGCATGAATGAGTTATTCCTGTATATATGTCCTTCTGGTTCTGTTTCTACAAGAAGCCCGGCTGATACATACATGACCAAATATTGCTTTTATAATGAGAAAAAGATTGGTAACTATTATTTTTAATTTCTCTCATGGTTTGCCCAAACCTGGCCAATCTGCCTTCGGGGGGGGCACTCTGTAGCATTTTCTCAGACGTAAGTACAACTTTTGAGAGTGTAACATGCCAGGCTCCCTGCCCAACATTTGGCACACATAGCCTTGTCTGATCTTCACAAGGATCTCCATTTTAGGAAGCTGACACCCAGAAACATTCATTCTGTCACTTACCCAGGGTACACAGTGTGCTCCCCCAAACTACATCGTGGAAACACATGACTATTGATTTGTGGTGATATTTAAGAGTTTGGCATAGAGGTCCTGAGCCTGGAGTGCTATGTGCGCAACTCATGACCTGTGTGAATCCTGGACTTGTGCAGGGCACCAGCTTCAAGGGACTCCAAGCAGTACCTGGTGGAATTGTCAGCAATCCTAAAAGCAAGCTCAGCCTGCAATGCTGCCTACCCCGGACAGATAATGCCATGGCTGGGAGCTCTTTTTTTTCTAACTGTCCCAGACAATCTGCCACTTTCCTACTAGTTTCTCCTAAAAAAAAAAAAAAAAAAAAAATCATTATCTAAATTTTTATGGTGGGCAGAGTTATCAGTTTTCAGTAAGCCCGTCCCTGAGCTCCCTTACTTGATCCATCCTCTTCAGGAAACCTCCAGGACCCCATCTTCATTGCCTTCCTTGCCGGTTGCACCATCTGAATCAGTTTTCTAGAGCTGCCATAACCAAGCACCACAGATTGGATGGCATACACAACAGAATTCTACTTCTCCACAGTTCTGGAGGCTGGAAGTCCAACAGCAAGGTGTCGGCAGGTGTGCTTTCCTCCGAGGCCTCTCTCCTGAGCATGTAGATGGCTCCTGCCTCTGTGTCTTCTCATGGTCTTCCCTCTGGGTGTGTCTGTGCCCTAAGCACCTCTTCTTTTTTTTTTTTTTTTTTTTTTTTTTTTGAGACGGAGTTTCGCTCTTGTTACCCAGGCTGGAGTGCAATGGCGCGATCTCGGCTCACCGCAATTTCCACCTCCTGGGTTCAGGCAATTCTCCTTCCTCAGCCTCCCGAGCAGCTGGGATTACAGGCACGCACCACCGTGCCCAGCTAATTTTTTTGTAATTTTAGTAGAGACGGGGTTTCACCATGTTGACCAAGATGGTCTCGATCTGTTGACCTTGTGATCCACCCGCCTCGGCCTCCCAAAGTGCTGGGATTACAGGCTTGAGCCACCGCGCCCGGCCCCTAAGCACCTCTTCTTACAAGGACACCAGTCATATTAGATTAGGGCCCACCCCAATGACCTCACTTAGTGTAATTACCTCTTTAAAGACCCTATCTCCAAATATAGACATGAGGGGTTAGGGCTTCAATATATACATAGTTGGGGGGAGGCATGATGCAGCCTATGACATCATCTTTCTCGAAGCGTCATAAGAGTATGTCTGTGTTACTCTCAACACAGTTCAAAGGTACTCCCAGGACTGTAGAGGCCTTCTGGGGATGCCACATTCACATACTTCCCATGCTTCTCACAATGATGATGCCATCATCTGAGTCACTGTGTTTCCTTGCATAGACTGGGTCAGGGCCCACCACTCACCTTAGGATCACCAATGGTGCCTACCTCATAGTGCCCATGGCAGAGCAAATCGCAATGTTTCCATTCTGGATAGAGCTCCTAAAATCCAGCCACCACACCCGCAAGTGTGGCACAAAGTGAAGAGTTTCATGATCAACCAACTTTGTTTAGTTTGGCTCAGACCTGGGAAGATCCAAAACTTTATGCCCGATCATGTTCCTCCCACACACAAATACATTGCAAACACACCTGGCTTGGAGTTATGCTGACTGGAAGTTAATTAACATAAAGCAGGGGGTGTTGACCGTAATTCAGTGGGTGCTACAGAAAGGCTGGCAAGGTCCCCTTCCTGCATGTTGACCAATTCCAAATACTGCATACCCGCCACCCTGCATACCCGCCACCCTGCATACAGCAGCTACCCACACATGGAATGTGCCCGTTCAGGTTTCTTCATGCCCAAGGCTCACCTTCCCCAGGCCCCAAGTCCAATATCGGGGAAGCACAGCAGAGAGGATCAGAGGATCTCAAAAACCCAGGTCCTTCCATTTGCGTGTTGGCTGACCTCACCCACTGCCCAGACTCACAGACTGGAGAACCCAATGAGAAGCCTGTGATTTTGATTTTCTTCTTTTCCCTGAATGACTCCGAATCTCCTTTTATTCCAACCCCTGGAGGAGGTCTTTTCTTACCAGCCAATATAAAGATCCCTTTCTCTACATTGCCTTTCAGTGGAAGACTGACAGGTGCTGGGGTTGCTATTTCTATCAAACAGACAGCAAGGCATTTATTGTGGACCAAACTCATCCTGAAGGAGGGTTTCCAGTCTCCAGTTAGGGTCATCCAGCATGGCTGTTTCTTGAAGAGACAGATCTAGACCTTTGATGAACAAAAAAAACAATAAATGAATGATTCCATGTGTGATCAAGCCCAGAATTCCCACATAAAGTCTGTCAAAGACCATTCTTAGCTTGAGAATTTTAAGAGTAAGATTTTTCTCTGCCCCCATGGAAGAGGACCATTGTGGTTCTGCTACATATTTGATTTCTTTCTTTTCTTTCTTTTTTTTTTTTGAGACTGGGTCTCATTCTGTCACTCTGGCCGCAGTGCAGTGGCAAAATCAGTGCTCACCCCGGCTCAAGCAATCCTACTGCCTCAGTCTTCCGAGTAGCTGGGACCACAGCATGTGTCACCATGCCAGGCTATTTAAAAAAATTTTTTTTTTGTAGAGATAGGGTCTCACCATGTTTCCCAGGTCTCGAACTCCTGGGCTCAAGCAGTCCTCCCACCTTGGCCTCCCAAAGTACTGGTATTACGCATAAGCCACCACGCCCGGCCCACATTGGATTTCGACCAGCCACATTTGAGCTGCCGCATTCCTCCAGGCTGCCAGGAGGTGGAGACAAATTCAACAAATAAACCAGGATGGGCTATTTGGCTCTGTCCAGCCAAGCTATGGAAAATGCCAGCAAAAAAACCATCTTGCTCCTGACATCATCACCCTGAAGAGTAAGCAATTAGACAACAAAACCATTGCTTTTCCCAGTTCATAAAAGTAAAACCGCAATATAAAATGGCAGAGCATTTGTGACCTCCAAGGTGAGGGGCAACCTTCATTATAAAACCACACAGACCAGACAATAATATTATTCAGTAATAAAAAGGAATGAAGGACCATTACCTGGATGAACCTTGAAAACATGATGCTGACTGAAAGAAGTCAGTCACAGAAGACCACATTTGATGTGGTTACATTTATAGAAAATGTCCAGAAAGGGCAATCTGTAGAAGCAAACTGGATTAGTGGCTGCCAGGGGTGGGAGGGAGGTGGAGGATGGGAATTGACTATTAATGGGTCTGGGGTTTCTGTCTGGTGTGATAAAATGTGCTGGAATTAAATGGTAGCAATCAAGGGATAACTTTCTGACTGTACCAAATACCCCCAAGTGTACACCTTGAAATGCCGAATCTCATGTTACAGGAATTACCCAATGATGCTATTTTTTTTTTTAATTTTGAGACAGAGTCTCTCTTTGTTGCCCAGGCTGGAATGCAGTGGCACAATCTCGGCTCACTGCAACCTCCACCTCCCGGATTCAAGTGATGCTCCTGTCTAAGCCTCTTGCGTAGCTGGAATTGCAGGCATGCACCAACACCTCTGGCTAATTTTTGTATTTTTAGCAGAGACAGAGTTTCACCATGTTGGTCAGGCTGCTCTTGAACTCCTGACCTCAGGTGATCCACCCACCTTGGCCTCCCAAAGTGCTGGAATCACAGGCATGAGCCACCACACCCGGCCAATAATGCTATTTTTTTTTAACAGCCGCACTTTTATTTTTCCTTACACAATTACTTGTTCCTAGGGCCTAATGTTCTCACATAACAGTAGAAACCCAAAATTTATTGTCATCTCTTGTAAGAATCAAGAATTCTATACAAAAAAAAAAAAAACCTTACAGAGATTTAAAGGATGAATACATTTACAGGTGTAAATGCAAACCACTTCCAACTCAAGGCAAGTAACAGCCCATGGTGTTCTGGCAGGAAAATATTAGCTAAGAAAGGAAACTGGGTCTTATGGCTTGGACTTTCCCACCGTGACAAACCGGTAGGACAGAAACAACTGGTTCAGGAGCCCTTGCCAGCCTCTAGAGAACTCCCAGAACACTCAGCGCTGACACATGAATACCCAGCACAGATCAGAGACTCCTGGCCACGCAGACCCACCAAGGCACAGACTTGACTGCCACAAGCATGTTCTCACCTCAGCCACAAAGTGACCAAGCCTCATGCACTAAGGGTCAAAATCGAAGATGCATACAGAGTACTAAACAAATACCAAGGGGAACAGTTAGCTTCAACACAAGGTCAAAGTCAACAAGTTCTACAATCAGCATTGATATCAGATACAAGCTTCAAGGATAATGTATTTTTGAAGGCTTATTTCAGTTTTGTGAGGCTAGCATGAGGTGTATTCATTTGCCAGGAGCAAATTTATACTTCTGAATTAACCCATGCAGCAAATGGTATGCATCTGCTCACAGTCCATTTAGAAGCATTTGGGGTAGACGCTAGAGGGGCCCGACTTGTCATATTCCTGCTTGCTAATCCACATCCGCTGGAAGGTGGACAGTGAGGCCAGGATGGAGCTGCCCATCCACACCGAGTACTTGCGCTCTGGGGGAACAATGACCTTGATCTTCATGGTGCTGGGCACCAGGGCGGTGATCTCCTTCTGCATCCTGTCGGCAATGCCTGGGTACATGGTGGTGCCGCCGGACAGTACCGTGTTCGTGTGCAGGTCTTTGTGGATGTCCACGTCACACTTCATGATGGAGCTGAAGGCAGTCTTGTGGATGCAGCAAGATTCCATGCCCCGGAAGGAAGGTTGGCAGTGCCTCTGGACACCGGGACCACTCGTTGCCGATGGTGATGACCTGGCCGTCGGGCAGCTCAAAGGTCTTCTCCAGGGAGAAGGAGGATACGGCAGTGGCCATCTCCTGCTCGAAGTCCAGGTGACATAGCACAGCTTTTCCTTGATGTCACGCACGGTATCCCACTCAATGGTGCTAGTGAAGCTGTAGCTGCGCTCAGTGAGGACCTTCATGAGGTAGTCAGTCAGGTCCCAGCCAGCCAGGTCCAGACGCAGGATGGCCCGGGGGAGGGCGTAGCCCTCACAGATGGGCACTGTGTGGGTGTCCCCATCTCCAGAGTCCATGACAATGCCAGTGGTGTGCACAGAGGTGTGGACGGACAGCACGGCAGGTGCGGCATCCTCGAGCATGGCATCATCACCAACTGGGACGACATGGAGAAGCTCTGGCACCACACCTTCTACAACAAGCTGCATGTTGCCTCAGAGGAGCACTCAGTGCTGCTGATGGAGGGCTCCCTGCACCCCAAGGCCAACAGAGAGAAGTGACTCAGATCATGTTTGAGACCTTCAGCACCCCAGACACGTACATGACTATCCAGGCCGTGCTCCGTCCACGCCTCTGTGCACACCACTGGCATTGTCATGGACTCTGGGGACGGGGTCACCCACATAGTGCCCATCTGTGAGGGCCACGGTGACAGAGCGAGACTCTGTCTCAAAGAAAGAAGCATTCGATATGTCGCCTCCTCATTCCCACCTCTGGCCAGATCTCACCTGCAGCCACCACCACCAAGAAGGGGCCTCTCCTTGCATTTTCCACTTGGGTTGGCTCTGCGGCTTGGCAGACTTTCCCCTGCTGAGTGCATTCCTCTCTCCACAGTGCTTTGATCTTCCTCCTGGCCAAGGGCGACCACAGCCTCTGGCATGAACCTCTTTGGTTATCTTCACAACCATCAATGCTTCATTAATATTTCTGGCAGGCCAGTAATTAATATGTTAGCACATGCCTGTGTATTCAAAGCAGCTTCTATGCCTGAGCTTACTATCCTTTACTACTTCAGAAAAGGATTTGTATTGAATTCTGCAGTTTCAGCTGTGCCAAGCAGCAAATGATAAGCTCTCATCTGCAGCAGCCATAACAATGAAGGCAGCAGCGGACATGATACCCTCTGCACAGATGAGAAAACGGATCCTCAGTGCAAACTTATGCCACCCCAAAGGTTCACAGCAAACATATCATTTATTGTCTGAGGCAGAAGTCACCTTCCATGAGAGTGGCTGAGTCTGGCATTCTCTGCCCTTCTTCGGATCTGTAGGTGGGAGTTTCTGCCCTTTCCTGGGCCTCTCCTTTCTGGACAACCTGAGAGACAGGCCACCTTAAAACATAGCCCTCATCCTGTACCCACCCTAGCCCTCCTTGGTTCCCTATCTTCCTTCTTCTCACCTACAAGCATCCTGCTCCACATACACTAGGTGATTCCTGCGTGAGGGGAAGAACTGCTTCAGTGGTCCCAGCTGAGCCAGAAGGACCACTGCTCTTCCTCACCTCCCACCCATCCTCCCGGTACTCCATCCCACTCCCTGCCCTGAGTCAATTCCTCACAGCCAGGTTCCAAACACTAGCTACAATCTGACCGGGAAGCGCAAAGAACCACAGAGGAAATGACCCTTGGATTAGCATGGCATTTGCTTCTCCAAGCTGTGGTCACCCCCTGGGCTCATGTTCTGCTTCTAAACAACTCTATGCCACAGAATTTCCACTGCCACAGTGACAGGTCTTCACCATGCTGCCCTTGATTGAAAAAACAACAGCAACAACTGGAAAACTGTCTCCCTCATCCCTGTGAAGTTTCCTCTTGCTGCTTTTGTATATTCCAACCAACTGCAATTTGGACCGTTGAGCCTACCCTCTAGTATGGGTCATCGATCCACAAGGGATAAAAGGAATCTGGACGCATCGAGATTCCAGGCACTGCGCTAGATGCCAGGAAAATACATGTGCATGAAACACAGTCCTTCAACTTCAGCGAGCTCAGCAAAACGTGTGAATGGGATTCTCCGATGACTACAGTAATAGGCTCTGCGCCAAGAGGTAAGGGAACCACGTGGAGATCCTGGCTGGGTTTGGGAGAAGAGTGTGCCCACCATAAAGGAGGGTGACATTTAAGATTTTCAGAAAGCCATAGTCCAAATTCTAAGACCATGAAAACTGAAAAACAGACATATTCTACAACCAGCAAATCTACTCCTAAGAGCATATATCCAATGGAAATATGGGCACCAAGAAGAACATGCAAGATTATTATTCACGACAATGCTATTCATAAGACCCCAAACCAGACACTGCCCAAATGTCCTCAACAGGGAAAGGGATACGTAGGTTGTGGATTATTCTCACAACAGAATGAATGATCTGTAACTACACATGATGTGGTGAACCTCAATGACAGACACAGAAGATTATATTCTATATTATGTTATGTATATGAAATACAAAACCAGGCAAAACTAATCTCAGCCATAGGACTCAGGAGAGTGGTCAGTAGGGGGAGGGAATAGCGGAGTGAAGAGGCCACGAGGAGCTTGGAGGGTGCTGTCATGCTCAGTTTCCTAATATAGATGGAGGTGACAAGGGTGTGTTTGATTTGTAAAAATACATAATGCTGGACATTGTGAATATGTGCACCTTCTGTGTGAATCTCAGACTTGAATAAAAAGAAAAAAATAAGTATGTCTATTGTCTTAGTCCATTCAGGTTGCTACAATAAAATATCATGAACTGGGTGGCTTATAAACACCACACATTTATTTCTCACAGTTCTGGGGGCTGGCAAGTCCAAGATCAAGGCACCAGCAGATTGGGTGTCTGGTGAGGACCCACTTAGTGGTTCATAGATGGCCGTCTTTCACTGTGTCCCCACATGGCAGAAAAGACAAGGGAGCTCTGTGTTGTATACGGGCACTAATCCCAATCATAAGGTCCTCACCTTTAGAACTTAATCACCTCCCAAAAATCCACCTCCTAGTACTATTATATTGGGAGTGAAGATTTCAACATATGAGTTGTTGGGGGGACACAAACATTCAGACCATAGCAGCTGTTTAGCTACACAGCTAAATAGTAAGGATTAGTTTCCAAATCATATCTCAGCTGTTTCTCTACCATTAGGCCGTGAGCTCCTTTAGCAATGGAACCTGGCTTACCCATCTTGCATTCTTCCTTTCTTGGCACAAATATGGTGGGTAATCTTCCCAAACGGTAAGCTCCCTGGTATAGTTCATTTGGCCTAGTAGGTTGTATCCAAACGATCACTGTATTTACTTATAGATGCTCTCAAACTGGTCCAAGGTCTAATCAAACCTGGAAATTGATCAAAAATGACCCATTCATGCATTCTAGAATTCAACCATTCCCAGTTGCTTTTTTAGAAACTGGCATAATTTTCTATTATTTATGCATTCTAGAGAAATATGTCATAGACCCCTATATCATGAAATACCCAGGTCTGTGGTCCCTGTCTCATTCTCCCTGGTTTCTCAGAGATGATCTACACACAATTCTATTTCCCAGATGATACAATAGAATCCACTGTATATAACATAGGATAATCCACGTGGCCCTGGTCTCTCAGTTCTTTTGAAGAAACGAATGTTCATCAACATTCGTTTGCCTGTTTGTTGATTTTTACAGGCAGGGAAGGGGGATTCGAGGCAGGATTGGGTTGGCTCCGCATTCTCTGTATCTGCTCATGGTTTTCTTGCCTTGTTTGCAGCTTCCAGAGCTCCTCCCTGCTTCTCCAGCAACCTCAGTCTTCCACACTCCTCTGTGCCTTTGTAAATAGCCTTTTGTTCACTGACAAGAAATCTGCAGCCGCGTCAGCTCTAAACCAACCTCCCACCATTCTCTGGGTACAGTTCTACTCAGGAAGGGACAGGAAAAAGAGGGATGGAGGGGGCTGGAGATTATTGTGTTTGGTGGGGGACTGGGAGGCAGACAGCACACAGGGTTCAGAACAGGACAACAAGCCCGCCAAGGCTGCACGGCCGGCCTAGCTGGGTGACCTTGAGCCTATCTGGGCCTGTGACCTCACTGTGCAAAGGAGCCGGACCAGAGAATTCTGAGTCCTTTCCAGCTCTAAACACTCTGACCCTAAGCATCTATATGGCAAACAAGACTTTCCTGACGTTCGTCTCTGGGTACTGGAATTAGGAGTTTTTATTTTTTAATCTCCATTTTGCAAACAGTCTGAACTAAGATTGCACGACTGTGTTTCTGTTCTGTGTGTATTCAGAAGCACAAAAAGTCTGTGATTCTAGAAGGAACGTAGAAAAGTTCTTTAAAAAAAAAAAAGTTGGGGGAATGAAACAAATGTTATAAAGGCAGAGGAGAAAGAAAGGCCCAACTGGAGGCCCCAAATCCATGCAGAGCCTAGAAGCCCGGGTTTCCCACCCACCGGCTAGTCTTCGTCAGCTCTCTGGCGCCATCTGCTGGCCTGCACAGGAGCAACTGTTTAATTTGGTTTGCAAAAGTGCTTTGTCGCGAATCCACTGTGAACTCTAGACCGGGTCACATTCAGCATAAAAATCGGATTCTGTTTACAGGAAAACCTTGCCCCATACTTGCTTCCATAATTCACTTGTGACTTTGCCTTGCAGTACTAATCGTAACAGGGACACCTGGGCGAGTCCCTTCTGTATAAGGCCCAAAATGATCACCCAAAACCGGTGAGTCTCTTGCTCAGGAAAGCCCAGGAATGCACTTCCAGCCCGGTCCGCGCAGCGCTCCGACACCACGTGAAGGAGAAGGCACTCTGCAGAACCCGCCCTCAGCCCGCACCAGCTGTGCAGGGGACTGGTTGCGCGTCAATGTGTCTCTGCTCCCGGGTTTCCCACAGATCTTTAACTCATTGGCCTTTGGGCTAATTCAGTCCTTCAAGCATTCCCAGCCCAACATGCCAGGAAGTCCTCTCAGGTGTCTTCCACTCCATACCAGTCCTGTTTTCCCACTACCCAATGAAAGTCTGACCCCTCCCCCACGCACTGTTGGTCCCACCCTCAGGATGTGATGGTCCAGGTGAACGCTCGCCCTCTTTCTGAGCTGAACCTCTCCACAGAAACTGTCAGCAAAGACTCCGTTGCTGTCCAAGGCTGGCCTTTAGGTGCAGGACACTATGCATGTCCAGCGAGGCTTGTCGAAGCCACATCTGTCGTAGATATTGATGGGAAAAGCGTTTTCCTTCTAACACACCTAATTCCAATTCTAAAAGCCAACTCTAAAGTCTTGCTGAACTTCATCAAGGTCTTCACGTGGTTTCCTTAGTAAAGCGTGATGTTCTCAGGATGAAGGAGGGGCCCAGGAAGCCCTGATTGGTCCTGCCTGGGAGGGAAGGGCTGCCATATTTGGAAACCTGCAGGAATGCCACCTCCCCCAGCAGCTCCTATATAGCTGGGCGGGCCTGGCTGCCAAGAGGATGTGCTGGGGGACTGTGCAGCTTGAGGCTCCAGAGGCACACTCCAGAGACTGTCAAGGTATGTAGGGGGTTGGGGGGGGGGATTTCTGTGGTCAGGCCTGCTGGTTTCTTATCAGGGCTGTACCCCAGACTGAAAATCGTGCAACAATTTCTTTACTCCCACTTGATGAGTCTCAAGTTCAGGGGAGACTTGCGAGCATACTCAGTCATCCCTGGGTTTGCCTTTCTATATGTTGGTGCTATAATAA